AATGCTTGAAAGAGAGAAATTGTGAGGATTGAAGGATAAGCAAAGCTATCTTTGTTCAGTCTAGACCAGGGGTCCCCCAACCTGTGGTCCGCGGTCCACTACCAGGTTGTGGGCTAATCACCCCTGGGCTGCTTGAGTGGCTGGCCGGTATGTGCACCTCTGCACTTGGATAAAATAATCAACATGGCTTGAGTAAACTTTTCTTCCCATTTGTCATTTATTAGACCTCAAAGAGCCAAGATGAGATTTTGGGGGAAAGGAAGGCAGGGAGAGAAGAAGATAAACAGGGAGAAGCTTGCGACCCAGTCAGAGCTGCTGGAACTGTATCCTGACCAAGATGCCCCAGGAAGAGACACGATTCCAGGTCTACAGCTTGAAGAAGGTAAACAGGTGGTTTAATACAATGTTTCTTCACCTCGACAAGTTTTAAGATAGGTGGAATTCTGGGAGTTGAAGTCCACCCATTTTAAACTTGCCAAGATGGTTTAATAAAAATGTCAGCCAGACAGCTGATAAAGATTTAAATGTGTTTCTTTTGTAGATTGCAAAGACCCCCCAAAATAAGTGGTAACTCAGGGTTTCAGAAGTAGGGAGATTGGCTCGGCAAATCAGCTTTGTGACTTATTTTAGATGTAACAGAATCATTGAATGGGAAAAGATCTCAAAATTCAACTCCTGCTTTGTGCACGAGACATTGTGAATACATAAAATACTTTTATCAAGGAAGAGCTTAGTGCTTGGTCAATCGTTTGTCTTGACAGTCATGTCCGGTGTATGAATAATCTTCTGGTTCTTTTACCCATCATCAGAAATCCAAAAGGTTCGTGAATTGCTCCTCACTGGTTGTCAGAAGTCTTTGTTCCAGACACCCACATAATTCTCCTTTGAATTATCTAATTTGCCTTGAATCCCACATTCTCTAGGATTTCCCTACAGTGAAGGTGGAAATCTCAGGCCATCGTGCTAAAGAAATAATGTGTCGCATCTTCAGTGTTTCCGGTTTTTCCCGTTTCCTGATTTAGGAAGATAGTTCTGCTTGTTCCCCTCGGAGGAATTCCGAGCAAAACTTGTATTTCTTTGCACATGCAGAGCTGAGCCCTCCAAGGAGTCCCGAACTGTCGGGCATCTATCGAAGGGAATGTAAGGAAAACAAAGAGCCATCTCCAAAGGTCAAGCGAAAACGCAGCCTGAAAATTAGCAACGTAACGATGGAACCTGCACAATGGCAGAACGATGCCCTTCAGATCATAACAAGTGTCAGTGACTTGAAAAGCATGGACGAGTTCCTCTTGAAAAAGGTAACTTGTATATATGCCAATGCTGCATACCTAAATCGACAGCTTTACCTGCTAAGAATCGATATTGGCTTTTAGTATGAAGCCTTTGTAAGCGGATTGTCAGG